GCCCACCACCACCCCTGCCTGCCTGCCCCTGCCAGGGATGTCTGCCCACGAAGCAGAGCCACCACATCCCAGCCATTGCTGCAATGTCTGCTTAGTGTCCGCAAAGCCAAGAGGAGCTTCAGCCGGGCTGTGTAACGGTCATTGTCCCAGGTGTGCACAGCTGAACGCTGGCATCAGGGCCTCTCTGTCCCTCTGCCGTGCGAGGTCTAGGCCTTTAGAACATAGGTTTCCCAACTTACTTGACCTACCACCCCCTGTTCAGGAAAAAAAGAAATTTTTTTACTCAGCATTCCCCCTCCCAGCAATTAAAACCATTTGTACTGTAGCCTAGACTCCAGGATCAAGGTGGTCATCCGCTGTTGCAGCCCACCTGCATCGTTCAGCACCCCCAAGGAGTGGTATCACCCACTTTGGGACACGCTGATTTTCCAGCGTTGGGGCCCCAGGCACCTAGATCCCAGCATCAAGGAATCACCTGGTTCCATTTGGACTGTGCCCCTCAGGAGGGTTCAACCCACAGGCAGGGGCTCTGGTCCCTCATTTTCCACCAGGTGAGAAGTCAGTTGGCCAGGAAGGTCTCAACCCAAAGACCAGGGATCCCAGTAACCTGGGACCTTCACGTGCTGGAGGGCCCAGGGCTGGGTGCCCTTGCACTCTTTGGCATAGACAAGGAGAAGGATGGTGCAGGGCCACCCCGGCCTGCCAGCAGTCTCACCCACTCAACTCTGTTGGCCAGGAAGCTCTGCACAGCCCATGACTGCAGAGCTGATCTGTACCTCACGGGGAGAATCGTGGACACAGCATAGTCCAAGGCCAACGGTCACCAGAACCTCTCTAGCTGAAGGTGCCCCAACACTCTCTCCTCGGCCTTCCTTTTTTCAGGCTAACTCTGGACACTATTCTGCCCTCAGAGGGAGGCACCGTGGTGCAGGCAGAGCTGGCTCGGGAAACCAGCTCACAGAAAACTTTAATCCTCAAAGAAAGGGATGGGGTTCGAGACCCAAAGCCATGAGACCCATGAGTCGGTCCTGAATCTCCCCGTGGGTCATTGCAGCCCCGTCTTGCACCCCCAGCCCAAAGCAGCTGCTCTCTCCCAGCCTGACAGTCATTCTGGGCCATCACCGCCTCCATGGGGTTACCCAGCGGGTTCTTTACCATCGAGAAAGCAGTGGAGTGGGTGGCCAGTAACTTCTACATCCAGGGAAGCTGGAGCTCAGAGCAGCGCTGGGACACTGAGGTCTGGAATCTGCCCCCCAAAGCCTCCCATCCTGCATGGCCCTCAGCGCAAGCGGTGCCCCCTCTCAGGAAGCTCCCATGGGAAGACTGCTTCCGAGACCAGAGCTTCCCAGCAGCCCCCACCCCCACCCCCCCACCCCCAGGTCTTCCTGGCAGCCCCCTGCCCAGGCAGCATCAGGCATCGTCTGTGTCTTTGCAGCTGCTGCCAGGTCCGGAAGCACTGTGAGTGGTGCCATGCCCTCATGTGCAGGCACGAGAAGCCCAGCGCCCTCCTGAAGGGAAGGGCAGCCTGCTGCCGCTCGGAAACAGGTGAGGGGCCGGGCCGGGGTGGACCGAGGCCGGCTCGCCTCGAAGGCACCACTGGGCGAGCAAAATGACCACCTTCTCCGAGTCAGAAGCATTGGAGGCTGAAGCAGAAAGGGGTTTGGGGGGAAAGGAAGTCTCTCTCTTGAGCCTCTCCAGTCCATTTTAGTTTATTCTAAGGTGTGTGTGACACCGTGGCTGCAGCGTGGCCTCAGGTCCAGGAACCGCCGTGAGGACTGCACAGGGACCGGGCGGCGTTGCGTTCTGTTTGTGCGCAGGGCTGCACCTAACCACAACAGTAACAACAGCAACAATAGGGGGGGTGTGAGCTAGCAGGGGGCTCGTGTCCCTGCTGGTGCCTGTGTGGGCTGACCAGTGACTTAGCCTCATGGGACCTCCGGCTCCATGTTCTCCGTGTAGATGGAGTGAGAACTGATGTGACATATGTAGTCCCAGGCGAGACGCGCCGGAGGCACCCTGCGATGGCTCGTTCCTTTTCCCTTGAGACAGCTGCTCCCTTTCTCGTCCGAGAACATGAGGGATCCGGCCTACCCAGGTCTCTAAGGACCCTGGAGACCCTTGGAGCCTGGGATCTTCATGACAGTCCCCGTTCGTTTGGATCTCCACGGACACCTTGAAGGAGAGGGGACGTCTTGACCTCCCATCAGGATCCCTCCCCTACACACGTCTGGCTCCAAGCCTGTGGCATCCAGTCACTCCCTGATTGACACTTGCGTGAATCAGCCTCTCTGGGATGCCCTTGTGACCAGCAGCATCCATCCATCAATAGCTTAAGAGTCTCTTTCAGGACAGTAGCAGACAATTAGAGGAGGCGGGTCTACCCTGGCGTGGTCTTCTCTCTGGAACCAGTCAGCAGCCCAGAAGCCCATGGCTTCCCAGCAAGGGCAGGGAGCCAGCTGTCAGGGGTGAGGCGCAGGCTCCTTAAACCTCGCCATCCTCCGCCACCGGGGAGCTGGAGGCCCAGGAGCCCCAGGTACTTCTCATGTCAATCCCCGCAGGTAGAGTGCCAGTGCGGGCCTGCTGAGCCTGGAGCCCACAGCCCCGGAGGGTGGTGAGCCCTTGAGCCTCAGAGCGGCCTTTAGAGAATGATTCCTAAGTGGCGGAGAGAAACTGAGTCAGGCAAAGGCCTGCTTGGTTTGCACTGTGGGTCAGGGTATGAGGAGGGAAGCGGGCTTCTGAAGATCCCGCCTGTGTGTCTCCCACTAGCTGGGGCTGAGGGGTGGCGGAGGGAGCCACGCACTAGCTAATCAGGTACATATTTCTCCGGAGTGTTTGAACACCAAGAGGCGGGGTGGACTTTTTAAAGGACAGTTGGGGTCGGCTTGGAAGCACGTGTGGCGGCACCTCAGCAAATTCATTTCGTTAGCAGCGAGATGTTGGTTTCTTGTTACTGTCTCTTCCCCTTTCGCCCACATTTTTTTTTATTATTTCTTTTTAACAGCTTGTACAGGTCACATCTCCCACATTTCACTCCTTGACTCATATTCGTAGGAGGCGTGCAACCAGCAGCACCATCACTCCCAGGCTGCTGCTTCCTCCTTGTGTTCGCTATGGGTAGCTCTCCCGTTCCCACCTCCCTCCCTCCCCAGGTCTCTTTGAAACCAGGATTCCAGTTGTTGTCTCGGTAGGGTTGCATGTCCTGGGTTCCATGTAGAGTAAAACCTACAAAGTCAAAGCCACCTGCCAACAAAGGGCCCGGCAACCATGACGGGATGATACCGAGAAAAGCCTCCCTCGGACACAAAGTAGAAAATATTAAAAACGGGAGCAATTGTACATATCAGAGGCCGGATGGACAAGGTCCCGCATTATGGCCCTACCCCCATTGCAGCACTCCGCCCTGCAGGGCGCTGCGTGAGAGCCGGGCCTTGCCCAAGTCTGGCCCACCTTCAGAGGGGATTCTGCTGAGGCTTAATCCGCATGGGGTGCCCTTGCGAACGGGTTTGGGGCTGTCTTGCTCCTCCAGAGCCTTCTCCAAGCACATTTAGCTTTGAGCCTGGGGAGGGATCTGGCCTCTTGGAAATGGCCCCCTACACCCTGACACCATGACCTTCATGACCTCAGCCAGGCTACTAGCCTGAAAAATGGGTGAACTGGGTGTTCACACGTGAGCTAAATGGGAGCAGCCTAGCCAGGATCTCCCTTGGCCAGGGTGCTACCTCCCCTCCCCCCGGAAAGACCAGGGCAGGAGCCATGCCACCCCACTCTGGCAGCCACAAAGGATTCCCTAGGGGCTCCACCCCATGAAAAATATGTGGGTCCACTCTTACGTGGCCTTAACAGAAGCGAGTGGCCTGCCACCAAGCCAGCCCTCACCCGGGAGCTGGCCCGGCTGGGTTGAATCATCTCCAGTCGGACGGAGGTCCTCCCGGCAAATGTGTCTCCTTCTCTTCTGCCCCCGCGCTGCCCAACTCAGCCAGCCTTTCCGGCTTCCCCGGGCATGGAAGGCACCGTGTTAGAAGCTGCTCCTCAGAGATGAAAAACCGGCAGAATTTGGCCGGGGGCCTGCCGGCCTGCCCGCCCCAAGAGCGCCCAGGGATGTTGGCTGGTGCCCTCTCCAAGTTTCTGTCCCCAACTTGTTTTCCCAGCAAGGTGAGGGGCTGGGCCACAGTGACTAACGGTGTTTTTCCTTCTGCCCAGTGGTCTGAGGAGCCCAGAAGAGGAGTTCAGCCAGGTGGACTGGGGCCACCCGAGCCGAGGGGACTTCTCCAGCACTGCCCCGAGTGGGACTCCTGGGAGAGGCAGGCCAGCAGCTCCTTCCTGCTTTGCCTGCGCAGCCTCGTGTCTATTTGGGAGCCTCCACCGCTCTCTCAAGAGCCCTTGTCAGCTTCGCACCGATCGGCAGACCACGTGGTCAAAACAGATTTCTCGAGAACGGCACAAGCCCTGTTTATGAAGACCAGGGGTGGGCGTCTGTCCGTCCGTGTGGTGTGGCCTGCACGTGTGTGTCATTGTCTCTGCCAGTCATGGACGCAGGACTGGGCTGCTCTTTCATGGGGGCAGCTGCTTATCACAGCATCCTGCCCAAGGCCGGAGAGTCCGGTCCCTCCTCATCGGCTTATTGAGGAGGAAGGTGGAGAGGAGGGTGACTGCTGCCTGTCACGTGAAGAGGCGAAGTCGGAGAGGAGCCGGATCGTGCATCCTCTCGACCCTCGACCTGCCGACGCCTGACGACTGCCCCAGGCTCGCCGTGGCCGCCCG